GAATTCTGGGAGTTGAAGTCCACTCATCTTACAGTGGCCAAGTTTGGACAACACTGTCCTAGATACACTGCGCATCTTGCCTTTGCCTCTAAGCTCAAGCCCAAAGTGAGTTAAAACTTGAGGCCCTGCTCTCTGGCCCTTCTGTATTTGATCGGGAGATGCCAGAGACTTCTTAGTAATTGCACCGCAGCCACAGAGTTTCCTCTAGGATGACAAGCACGTTCTATAAGGATTTCTGCAGTCTGTGTTCTCTCCTTTTAATTCTAGTGTGCTTTGGTTTGATACGCAATGTTTTATGGATAGTCTGCCTGCTGCTTTCAGACATCAACCCAAGCACAACAGGCAGGGTGGCCAGGCTCTGTGCAGCAGTGCTCAGCCTCCACCAGATAATGACTTCTGGCTCATGATTAGCACCCAAGCTTATAGCTTAGTCTCAGCGTGCCCCTAATCTGCCACCATGGAACATTTTATAGCCTAGCAGCGTATGAACGTTTAGTTTATTTTGTCTTTTATGTAATCTTTTATGCCTCCTACACTTTTTATATCCTTTATGCTCCTACACCTCCTTTTATTAATTATATTACCTTCCCATTCCTTATGCTAATTTATGAACATAATAAAGTTTGATTTGATTTTGATAATGATATTGTTCATTATGATCCACTTTTGTAACTAGTGTCAAAGTAAGATATAATCACATAAAATAAAAATAGCTCTGCCGATTTTAGACTCATGGATTACGAGAGAGACGATGTATGACTTAGTTGTTAGTTTTAGTAACTAAAAATAGTTCTTCTATTTAATGTTTACCAAGAACTGTTTATTGAAAATTCAAAGCATGAATTTTCAATACAGCATCCCAAAAATCTTTGCAGTGTCCAGTACATTAGCTCAATATTATCCCAAAATGAGATTCAGATACAAGGCTTTCCACATTATGTGGAAATATGCATAGCTAAATTGGTTGTTTTTCCCAGGGAAAAGCAATCATGGGAGGGAGGAATTTGAGACAGAGAAAGCTGAGCATGGCACCTCATTGCTTTCCTGTTGGCTGTCTCTCTACTTTGGAGTGTTCCATAACTGCTCACAAGTGCCGCCCACCCAGCCCCAGGAATTTCCAGGAATAAGGAAACCCCACTTTGACTGGGCAACAGTTTTTATAACTACATTTATCTTTTTAGGAATGTAATAGAGGCCTGTAATGCATACAAGCATATGTTAAATAAAGAATGTAATAATGCAACTAAACATCAGATTTGTTGTAGATAAGTGAAATTATTATTTAAAGAGCTGTGAAAAGTGTTACTAGAGGATTAAGATAAGGGTGCTGTGGAATATTATTTTTAAAATAGATCCACAGGTAATCAGACTTTAACGTTTGGTATTATTAGCTTAATTTTTCCTAATCTTTATGGCATGATTATTTTTTTTCCCTGAATTAAATTTCTCCATCCTTGCTATTTCTTTTTCTGCAGTGTGGAGGATGAAATCACATTCAATCAGGCAAAAAGAGATTAAACCTCCTATCACAGCATCAAGCTCTAACTGGACCACCCAACTTGTGATTTTGATCAAGCTGTTTGTAATTTTCGTATCTTCAAGAAAGAAGCTTTCTCGGATGAGCTGCAGGGGGTTCACGAATGCCACTGTAGGTGTTTTATAAGTAATCAGCCCTCCCGGATAGGCTACATGATGTGCAGAAGATCTCTGTATGGCATTTCTACTAAGGCAGAGACAGCAAATGAAGGAGTTGCAAATCCATATTTATTAGGGTCCCAGATTTATTAGGCCAATAAAGGTCACAAAATTATTGTTTTTCTTAGCTGGAAGTATCAGAAAAAAGGATGACTATCATTTTACCAGAAAAAAAATGCATTAAAATCAGAAGAAATAGCATTTCTTGGCCTAAAATAAGCCCTGATATTTTGATATACCCATTACTGAGTTTCCAAATGTACTGTCAGTGCCTGCTCCAGATGAAGCCTGCCCTGCTTGGCTCAGCCCTGGAAATACAGCTTTGGACTCCCTGATTTGACACTCCACATCTCAACATACCAAACTGAAAGGAAGGAAAAGAGTCTTACTGGTAAGGACCCAGTGGCTCACATCCAGCTCTCTTC